CATTCCTAATATAGGTATAGCAAAAATAATTTTTGAGAAAGAAAAATGATTGTTGTCCTAATATGTCATACCACGAAAGGCATGAAGATGCCACATAAAGATAGAAAAATATTTTTTCAAAAAGAACTTTAGTCCTAATATTCTCTATCATGAAAAGGAATGAGAGTGCCTAATGGACACATATACAAATATTTTTTGAAAAGGACAATTGTGCTATAGTGTTAAAAAAAAAATAATTAAAAAGAAAAGAAGAGAGAGAGAGAGAGAGAGAAATGTTTTATAAAATTAAAAAAATGGATTGTCTATAAAGAAACTATTTATCTTTTGTACATGAAGGTCACATTCATTTGTCCCTTAAATTTTAAAATTGGTGGTTGTAAGAGTGTCACTAAATAAACATAAAGTTCCAAAAAAAAAAATTATCGGACTTCGAGACTCACTGCAAGCCATCCAATTTAATATGTAATGAGGGGAATAATTATGACTTCCATGTAATATAAATGGACTCAGTAGACAACCCCTAAAAAAAATTAAGAAAAACTTATTGTTATAATTTTTTTGTAGAAAATACATCATAAATACATGGCAAATTCTACTCCAAAAAGCATCCTACATGAATTTTGTTAAATGCAAAAGATTGAAAAACTAATTCACAAAATTATCAAAGAGAGACTCGATCATAGTCCTATTTTTTGTCTAACGTAAAAGTCGGATGCAATGAATTTTCAGGATTCTCTGTGGGCATGAGAAAAGAAGCCGAACAAAATGCAGCTTACTTTATCATATCGCAATTGGCGAAAACAAAAGAAATTATTAAAATTAAAGATAACAAAGAAGAAAATATGAAGATTGCAAGAGAAAAAGAAATTTATCAAAATGAATAATCACAGTGAAATTCTGGAAGCCCTACTGTGTACACTATAGAAAGAAAATGAGGAAATTTATTATATCATTGAAAATATTGCATGGAAAATTCCACAAAAAAAAAAAATTGCATCAAGTAAGAGTGTTGAAATAGGATGCAAAAATGTAGAAATTGGGGTATCCATATATTTCTCTCTTTCTCTTGCTTGAAGTGGTGGTGGGTATTTATGGGTTAAGGATTTATGATGGGTATAGTAGGCAGCTTTCCAGTATCCGTCTCTTTGTTATAAAATAGGAAGTGAGGTGTTGTAGTTGGTGGTTACCTAGTAGGTAGTAGGTAGTTTATCGGTGGTTTTTGACTTTGAAGTTATCTCTCTAAGTTTTTGGTGATTTACAACATTCTCAAACAAAAAGTGTTCGGTGCAGTAATTATATTTGAAGTAATTTACTAAGACTCCTACGGATGTGGGTCAGAGCATCGTCACTCTAATATTTCTTTCTCTAAATTTTATTAAGTTTATTTATAATCTTTTCTTGAATTTTTTTATAAATTTAAGCGTAACTTTAGAAGAAAATAGTTTATATAGAGTTGAGGCTATAAACAATCAAATTAAAACCCATCTCAAAAATTTCACTAGAAGAGGCTGTTTTGATGCCCAGATATCCTCGATTTGATCATCTTGACATCAAGATGTATGGACATGAGAAAAAAAAAAAATTTTCAATTTTTAAAAATAGTGCATCTTGTAATGCATTTTTGGATGGTCAATTTTTAAGCTTTCATAGATCCGTTCGATCTTCACTATTTTTAAAACTTTAAATTTTATAACAAAAGATGAAAATATATTTTAAAGCTATCACAAAGATTTCCAAAAACTACATTTCTTGACATTATTTGAAAGTGCACTGTACTTTAACTGTTTAGAGCATTATACAAACTGCACTTTTTTTTTTTTTTGTTAAAATGTGCAGTAGCTATGCATTTTTCAAACATTCCAACATTTATGGTATCAGAGTTTCTGAAAATTCCAACACCTTTAATGATTTCTTCTTAAGGACACTGTGGGAGAATGTAATTTCTTATGCTGAACTGGCGACATGGTCGATGTGAGTGAGCTGCATACGAGAGAACCTACATAAGTGTTTCATGGAACTTACCAAACCATAGGTGTTTAATGGTACTCAGGCAAGAGGAAATGTCACTTTTCTCTCACTAACGGACATTTGTAGCCAATCTTTTCAAAACATCAAACTCTGATTTTTTTAATAAAAGATCTTTAAAAATCTAAATTTTCGTGGAATTGATATAAATTCGTATTTTATCTTTTTTTAAAAAAAAATAACTTATTCATGATAACTTTATATCTTCATCAACTTAAAGGTGCAATTAGCGTACCGATCCATCCCTCTAGCTGTAGAGGTAAGGTGCACCACCACATTTTATCATGGTATATAAATTTGATGTAAAATGTTCTTAGAATTATCTCAAAATCTATTTTTATATCTAATTATAAAATTTAAAATTTAAAAAATGGTTAAAATCCAGTAGATCTATAAACATATAAAAATCTTGAAATGAACGGTGTAGATAATATGTTTGTAAAATGCATCATTTATGAGACTTAAAATCTTTTTATTTTTCACGGTCATACATCTCGATGTCGAATGATCACTCAAAGGGTTTTTTCAAGATTAATACTACCTTTTCCGATAGATTTTTGAGGTGCATCTGTAGTTCTACATTATAAGGTTGCATCCTTATATAAATTTTTTCCTTAACTTAATATTATTGAATTTTGGTTTAAAGATAAATACATTAACAGCATGAGTATATTAAAAATCTTAGTTTAACAAAAAATTTCATCAAATATTTCGCCAATAAATTCCTTTAAAAAAAGTGTACGAAAATAATACAAGCAGTATATTCCCCCCTAAAAAGTAATCAAACCAATCGTATATCTCAAAATAATAAGTAGAATTAGAAGAAGAGTAACCCAATGAAAAATCTTTTTTTTTTTTTTTCAATTTTTTTATTTAAACGCGTAGCGTCCTTATAAAGAGCAAGAGAGGGATTTAATGATTCTAATGATGATTTAGGTAGCTAGAAATTCAATGCGGGATTCGAATTTGGTTAAGTGTTTTGTTATTTTTTTTATGCATTGAGAAGTTTGATTAATTTTATTCTTATTATTATATATTTATTTGGTGTATGCAATATATCATTTTAGATAGACCTCTATTTTACATATTTGGGTCTTTTTGTTTTCTTTTAATTAACTGCAATCCTCTATTGAGGGCGTTTTTTGTTTTTTTTTTTTGAAAAATAATTCTATACCTTGGTTCATAGTTCTTGTTATTTGATAATTAATTCTTGTATTTAGTATTATTGTTGTTGTTGTTTCATTATATGCTCCCAATAAATCTATGATATGTTTTGTGTTGGGACAACAAAATGAACATTGCTGCTGGATTTATTAAAAGTTTCAATAAAAATTGTCAAGTATATGATTGTATACAATGAGACCATTTTACCTTTTGTATAGGGAGGTCACATTACTTACAACCATTTGATGTGAAATCTTATAGGTTGGGTGTGTCACAAAGTTCGAAAAAAGTTTCTTTTGAACTTTAAGCTTGGTCATTGAAATATATGCAGCCATCCAATTTCACATCCAATGGTCAAGATTAATTATGCCTGCCTTATACCAAAGGTAAATGGTCTCATTATATATTTTCTCATACTTTAATGATACTAGTAAGGTTATACAATTATTGTTTAATAGCTTTAATATATCTATGCTATAGCTGCAAATCATATACCTATATTGTGTAATTTTTACACATCCGATTTTTTCCCAATGGTTTTTTTTAACAAATCCAAAATATTAACAATTATAACTAACTTTATTTTTGGCAATACCCCCGATTTTTCCTTAGACTTTCTGTAATAAAACTGATTTATTAACAATATTGCAATCTATTTATATTTTATTATTTTCCGACTTTCTAACTATGGTCCTAACGTGAAGGCTTTTTTTCAATGCCTTAAGACCTTATCGTGGCCCATACCAAGACCTCTTTTGTATTTATAAACCCTGAGAATAAGGGTTTGTTTAGTTGGGAGAATGGTTTGTTTTTTTTAGAGACAAACCTTCCCCCTTTTATTGTAACAATTTCGTGTTTGTTTGATGTGTGAAAGAGCTATTGGGCAGATAACTTCCACGGAAGATAAACTTACCCATTTTTTGTCCTCAAAACAATAAGGTTTCTTTTCCATCAAAATCAAAGGAAGCCAAACCTTTGAAATTTTTGTTTCTTTAAAGTTGGTTGCATCCAAGTACGTGGACGCTTAAAAGGTGCACAAAATTGATGGTTCAAATCGAACCATGCTCTTTTAAAAGAGACCGTATTTCTACAATATGAGGTCTAGAGAAATAAAGCATCCATTTTAAAAATAGATCCAAATAAGTGGTCCATCTAAAAACATTTGTAACTAACAGCTCAAATATTTTTTTAATATAATTATTATTTCTAATTTATTAATGTTTTTTTATATTCATGATCTTCATGTTAAAGATTATACATTCTTTAAAACTTAAGATCAAATTATATTTAAAAATGTATTTATTGCGGGCTCGCCACATTCTAATAATGTGCAGGCTCGCCACATGCAAACACCATCCATAATGAATCTCTTTTTTTATTTTTTATTTTTATAAAAATGATAATAATCTGAAAATGAAATATTGGTTTTAGGTTCTTTTTTAGAAGTAAAATTGATTAAAATTCATAAGAATAATATTTCCAATAACAACTATTGACCTAAAAGTACTTTTTGTAAAAATATTATTATATATTTTATTTATTTATTTTTATATATTTACATTTTTGAAAATACTAAGTATCTTATTTAAATGAAAAATAAAATACGAGACTAATGTTTGACCGTTGGATATGGCCATATGAGATCTCAACCATTGGAAGGGTCCACGTGATGTTGAGGGGATACTTTGCCTTTTCGAAAGGTGGACTTTATTTCGATGGGGCCCCGGGTGAAAAACCGTTTCCCTGCCCCAATCTTGCTCAGGATTGCGCGCACTTCTTCTTCAAACCAGGTATGCCTCTCTCTCTCTCTCTCTCTCTCATTTGCTCTACCCCCAATCCTTCTCTCTCTTCCATTTAACCTGTGGTGCTGAGCCCCTTTCATGCAATGCCCCAAAATTCCTATTATTAACTCCATTAATTACACCAAATTACCAAATTTTCAACAAGAGAACTGTAAATAAAAAGAACTGAAGCACAAAATCGACTGTAATTCAGGTTTTTTCTCTCAATAAAAGCCCTGAGCTCAAGCTCTGAGAAATGGGTCTTAAGGGGGTTCATTGGTTTGCATTATTGGAGTTTTCTCGGTTCTGTGTTTCAAGGCCTGTACAATAGATTCAAGGGTTTTGCCTCTAGTTTTTAAGAGGAGACCTTTAAGTGCAACTAGAGAGAGAAAAGACGGGTTCTTGTTTGAGGTTTTGAATGGGATTACTGAGAGATCTTGAGCTCAAGGTTAGTGTGGCTTTTGAAATCACGGAACTTTAGTCTTTTTTTTTTCTTCTGTGAGCGAGAAAATGGGGTTAATATTTTTTTGGTAATGAGTTTGCATTAGGGACTGGTTTCTTTTCCTTTATTGGAAAATTTTTTATATTTTATATTTTTCTTTTCTTGGTAATGCTTGTATGAACCTTTCTTAGTATAATTATAAAGAGAAGAATTGAACTAACAACTCTGAATTTTTTGTTTGCATTAGCTTTGTAAGTGAACACATACATGTTTTTGCTTGCCTGTTGGGGAAACATGACTATTAATATGATAATATCCAAATTAGATTGCAACCTTTCTTCTTTTTGGAAATCTCATGAACTGATTTGTGGTAAATTTTCATTCGTTTTAATGAGTATATAATTAGTCAAGACTTATGTTCCATGAAAAAATGCAAATTATTTTACTTCTATTCAAGAAAAGAAAAAAATAGGAAAATTTAAGAATTTGTGTTCAATAATGTTATCCACTACACTGCTGCGATGTACTCCATCTGGGTATAGAATCAATATCCATGTTTTCTTCTTGGACTTTTCTCTAATAGCTTATTCTTTGAATTGAACGAACCAATGAAGGCGTTATGTTTTATGAGAAGTGCTCATGAATCAGCTTGAATTTTCGAAATCATTCTAGCTGGTATGTTTTCGTAGCTCCTTGATGCTTTCAAGAGAAAAAGAAATATTATTGCATTTTTTTTTGTGCTTTAATTTTATTCAGTGAAATGAGTTGTTTTATTGTGTCTTACTTCTATTAAAGCATTTCATAATTGTTGATGTAGTTCTACCTGTGGTTTCACTGTTATATGATTGTCTAGGGAGGGCATTTCCATAAGAACCCACCAAAAAAGTGAGAAATAATGAGAAGTCCATGGCTGTCAGGCAACAATAAATATTTATCAACTTGTTTAAGTTATTTAAGTTCTTCATTATAAATGTTGTATGGAATTTAACCAGTATTAGAAAGACCGGCTGGTTAGAACTAGAACCGGCCGGTTAGATCAGAACCGCTAGGGTTTTGAGTCCTGTTAGGGCCCGTTTTGGGTGTCTAGTAGCCTAGGGTACACCCCCAAAAATTTTCCAGCCCAAAACAGGTCGGTTAGGGGTCAATTTTTAGTCAAACCGGCCGGTTTTATGCTAACCGGACCGGTTAGACAATATAACATACGTTTTTACGAAATAACGGTGATGTACCCATTACGGCTGTTATTTTGAAATCAAGGTCGTTATTTGTAGCAGGCATTCTTGAATCCAAAATTTCACTTTTTTTTATTCGTTTTTGTGCTTTTTTTTTTGTCTTTTTTTTATTATTTATTGCTGTAAAACAAGAAATTTGGATTCAAACATAAAAAAAAGAAGAGTTTCTTGGATCGAAATGGCGGAGTTTTTAGGTTTTTGAAAATTTCCGCCATTCAATAATTTCTTCAATACCTAATGGTGGGTTTGATAGATAATTGAAGTATTTATCAGGTTCATGTTTCAATTTGTTCAAAAACCAAAGATTATGGGTTGATTTTGGCCCGAAAAGCTGCGTCTCAAAGAACCTGTGTTCGATCCAAAAACACAGATTTTTTATCGATTTATTGGTTGTTTTTTATCAAATTGAGTTGTGGATTTTGATCATGAAGGCTTAATCTATCAAATAAAATAGGTATGTCTATTTATGATTGATTAAATGTTTTTATATGAATTTGTTTGTTGCCCCATATCATGAAAATTTCATAGATCTGATATTTCCTCCATTTTTTCAATTAAATTAAAAATACCGAATAGTTTTTTATGAGATTTGGTGCTTTTGAAAGATGATCGAAGCCTTTACAGTGTATGTATGTTGATTTGTTCAATTATCCAAACATTGAGGGTCGTTTCTTGCTCGAAATGTTGCTCGAATTTAGGGGTTTTGAAAAATTGATTTTTCTAAAAAAAAATATTTTGCTTAATAAAATTATGTTTTTTGATGAATATGGGAAATGTTTTTCTATTTTGCTTAATAAAATTATTTTTAATAGAATTATGATTTTTAATAGAATTATGTTTTTTGATGAATATGGGAAGTGTTTTTCTATTTTGCTTAGTAAAATTATTCTTTTTGATAAAAGTATTTTTTAGATGAAATTGATTCTTCTGTTTGATAAGTGCTTGATAATGTCGCTCGATCTTTTGCGCGATTTTTGGTAATTATGTTTTTGAAGTGCATGATGTAGTTATATTTGTAATAATGGAAAATGGGACATTTTGTTTTTTTAAGTGCATGCAAAACTTTTGGTTGCCTTATGTTCAATGAAACACTACACCATCTTCTTCTATGTGCTTGGTTCTTCTCTTTTTTCCTTTTTTCTTTTTTTTTTTTTCATTTTTTATCAAGGATTTTGGAATGTTATGGAAAGAGTCCTTAAAAGATGAGCTGATTTTTAAAAAATTGACCGACTAACTCGGGATCGGTCATTGGCCGATCCCGATTCCAGAGAGAGAGAGAGAGAGAGAGTTTTACAAAGGTGATCTTAATTTCAAATCATCCCTCACATTTGGCAATATGGGTTGGGTCATTAAAATCAAAATACACTCAAGAAGTCTAGGTTGATCTATCGAATGGAACCCATCTTTGGAGGGTCGAACTTAAAAAGTGCCCCTCCTAGAATTGTTTTAATTTTTTTAATATTTTTTGGTATTTTTGACCCATTTAAAAAAATAAAAATAAAAAATCTACCAGACTAGTTAGCCCCGTTAGTCTGGTTCCGGTTCTAACTGCCCCAAGCCCAACCATTCTGGTTCGATTTTCCGAACATTAAATTTAACCCTCATTTGCTTGAAAACATTAGAGAATTTACCCAAGTAGCCACTAACTGTGACAAGATCTGTTTTAACTGCTAGAGTATTTTGATATATTAGACTCTTGTTTTGTTATATCTTTGACCAGCATAACATTGAAATATTACTCTACATAAACATTTTTAAAAGCTAGCTGCCTTCTTTTTCCTTAATCAAGTTGTATTTTATATAAGAAAAGCTGGATACCAAAGAAAGTTGCAAACATTTGCCTCCAGAATATGGAGACATTCCATCTTCTTTGGATGAGTTAGTTGCACTGCCTGGTGTAAGTCCTAAATTGGCTCACTTGGTTGGAAAAAATTGTTTTTGCTTTTGATAACACCATATTTTAGAAGAGATATCTGTCTCATATAATTAAATTGGATCTTTTCTACTTGCAATTATGTGTTTCAAGGTATTCATACGGTTGAATGGTTCCTTTTTTTTATACAGCGCATAATATATTGCGTGTGGCTTGTATAAGGTTGCAACCTTAAACAAACCAATTAAGGTGCACCTCCAAATTTTATCATAAAGATAATTGTAATGTAAAAAATTCTTAGAATGGCTTGAGAATCTATTTTCATCTCTAATTATAAAATTTTAAACTCAAAAAATGGTTCAAATCAAGTAGATCTAAGAACGCTTAAAAATGGACAATCCAGATAATGTGTTGCAAGATACACACTATTTTTAGGACTCGAAATCTTTTTTTTTTTTTTGAGAAAGTTAACCTTAGGACTTGAATTCTTTTTCTTTCCATATTCATACATCTCGATGTCGCGATACATCTCGATGTCGAGATGATTAGTTAGAGGATTTTCCAACATCAAAATTACCTTTTAGGATTTTCTCAAAGAAAAATAACTTTTTAGGATGAATATTTGAGGTGCACCTTAATTCCACATTTTAAGGTTGCAATTTTATGTAAAAATTATTTTTTGTATATTAATGGAGCTTGCCTTCTAAGGCACTAGCGTGATCTTTTCTACTTTCATCATGACAAGAATGAAGATGAATTTTCTTTTGGTCTCATGAGTGTAGCCAAATACTTTCAATTTGCAGATTTTGCATCTTGGGTGGAAATTAGAAACCTCTTCCCTCTCTAAAACCCCCAACCTGTCTTACGATGCAACACATACACCAGCCTTCCCATGGCCACTGCTAGAGGATGGATCTTCCCCCAAATGCTTGTAAGATATTCGTAAATGGCCTGGCCTCGTATCTTATCCGGAAATCAGCAGAGGTTGAGCCATTGCTTGTAGTGAGGAGCCATATCACTGGTACCTAAGTCTATTTCCTGATTGAAAACTCTATTGAGGACCCTCATCTTTCCTTCTTTCTCTAGGCTATGGCTCAAGGAATTGGCTTCTTCACTGTACCAAACCTTAAGGGGAAGAAGATGAGAGAGAAACATACTCTCCCAAAGATCAGGCAAAAGGAATGATCTGGCTTGTAATGGAGAATCACAGAATACCTGCAACAAATGTTTCGCTGAAATTCAATGGTTTCTTTGGAGATTATGCACAATTGAAAGGTATAAGTTGGCACAAGCCCGAAGGTGAGAATTCGGAAACATACAAGTGAAGCCATGCCTGAGATCAGGAGAGCCTAGCCTTGCTACGAGATTTGAAAGACTCATTCAATGTTATAAGAGAGAATTCTTGATTCTTGCTTGTTTCCCAAGATTTCAACTGTTAATCTCTCTACCCCTTGCATTACCCAAACCCTAAATCTTTTTTTGCTTTTCATTTCATCCCATTGAACAGAACCCACAAACAGCCGAACCCTAGCCTCTGCTCTGCTTCTATCTGAGCTTTCTCTCCCTCTCTGCTATCGATATCGGTAGGAGGAAAGATCATTAACTCTGACCTTGGAGGCTGCTGGAAAAATCGAAGAAGTTAAGATTGATATCCCCCTCTCTCATCTGTTATCTTTGATCTTTCTCCCTCTCATCAAAAAATCTCTCTCCACTGTCTTGCCCACCACAGCCATTTTTACTTGCACAAATACATCCTTGTGGTTGCTCTTTCTCTGTGCCTAGGTAACTCTCTTTCTCTCGCTCTCTCTCTCTCTCACTCACTCACTCTCTACTTTCTCTGAGTATAATGAAGCATGAAATCAGTGGAATAACCCTTGCATCGGAAACCATGAAACCCCTATAAGAACCAACAAAAACAAACTCTCTTTATGGAAACCCCATAAGTAAACCCCCAAGATGTTTTTTGAAAAGAATGTTATGAGGCCAAAAATCTGAAAAAAATTTGTAGATGTTTCAAACTTTTGAAACTAAATGACTGAAAATAGCTCAATCCACTAGTTTTTTCCTATATAACAGGTTTTACAAGAATTTTCCCTTCGATCGTCTTTATACTGAATAAACAAATAAGAGCATTGAATACGCTATTTTGATAAAAATCAGATTTTATTGTTATTACTGATTTACTAATAAGTACTATTTTTTTTTTCATTATAAGCACAACTGAGAACACCGAATATAAAAGCAAAGAAGAATACCAAATGTACCATTTTGATAAAAAATAAGATTTTATTATTATTAATGATTTTATACTTATTGTTTTATCGAGCACACATATTTCATACTGACTTTGTGACGGCGCTACTTGCTGCTGATTCTTTTTTCTTATTTGTTGTTGAGTTCTCTTTTGCTAATATTTGGTTGCATTAAGATGCTTCACTCCGTTTTGGTGTATTGTTCTCCTTTTCTGTTGATTTTTTTGTTGTTTAATTGCAGTATATCTTGAAGTTTTAATTTTGAATATATGCCCTATCTCTCTATGCAGTATTGGGTTACTGACTTTGGTAACTTGTGTCAGTCTAGGACATTGTTTTGGTATTGGGTATCTCCTAATTCAATCATGGATTACTTTGCTTAGGGGTTATGGAATGCTTGTTATATGCGTATTTTTGTGTACTATGGGATTCCAGGAAATTTTTTCGCCAGTAATAAAGTGTGCTAATAATGTATTTCACCAGACAATGTATTTCGTCAAGCAATGCATGTATTTATGCTTCTTCTGGTGTTTATTCTTGGATAATTTTAGTTCATTCCTTATTACTTAAACAACTCGTTGTGCATATACATCTGTGAACTGCTGAACTGACCTTCATACTTCATTGTGTTTCCATAATTGTTGCTCTATATACATGTCTATCTACTTGTGCATGTACATCTGTTTTGGTGATATATTCTTTTTTGATATTATTGTGTTCTTAATACGATCATGTCTTTCTATTATGAATTTGTATTTCGAGCTATGGTGTTTTCTTTAACATTGGACGTAGGAACTATAAATATTTTGGCTGCTTTCGAACAATTTGGCTATTCGTTTTTCAATAAATCATGTATGTTGGGGGCAGTGTTCCAAAAAATGCCGGGCGTCACCTAGGCGGCCGCGGGGTCCCCAGCCTATAAACTACTAGTTTTATTATTATTTATTTGTTTTTAAATACTTTTTTAGATCACTACTTTGGACTGATCTATACCCAATCCGGATCGTCCATCCACAGATGCGTGACATATTTGAAATGATCCGTCTCACCAATTCACGTTTTAATACATTGATCATCAGTGAAACAGCTGTGGACTTCCACAGAATAAAGGGCACACGCGACAGTTCTCACTCCTGTATAAAAGAAGCCTAGTTTTTACAATTTCTTTCCCTCTTTTATCTTACAAACAATAGCAAACTCTAGCCTGAATCCCGATCCCTGTAACCCATATACTCTCTCTTGCCAATCCATCTCTCTCTCTATCTGTCTAAATCACTGCTACAAAATCTATCGCGCTCTACAAATCCAAGACCCATTTTTCGTTTGCAAGCTATTTGTTGTTCTCACATTGATGCGCCCTCTCTCTTCAAGCTCCGGATCTCATTTCAGGTTTTTTTCTCCATTCCCACGATGACAATGGGAAATCTGATATGTTTCAGAAACTGTATTTTACTAATATTGTCAGTTAATTAGGAAAATTAAACAAATCAGTAAATTTGCAACTATTTCCTGATATTTATCAGTAAATCAGTATATTCATCCATCTTTTTGTATCCATCAATCTTTTCATATTACGTACTCTGCTGCTATTTATTGATTTTCTCAAATTTATCTGTGAACAAGTAAATTTGTCAATGTGTTTGTATTGATAGGTTATTCAGAAGAAATAATAAATCAGTAAATCTACTAGTATCTAATAATTTTCTGGTATTTACCAATAAATCACTTAAATCAATGTGTTGAAATTTATCAATTGATCAGGAAATATGTAATGACCAGTGAGTTGTTGATACTAATTTTCTAATATTGATCAGTAAATTTATCAGCTTTTTGATTTTTATCAATTAATCAAAACTAATATACTGATTTTCTAAGATTTATCACTAAATGAGTAAAGTTCACACTGATTTTTGACATTCATAAGTTAATCAGTAAAATATAGTAAATTTAATAAGTAAGTTTGTCATATTTTGACATTTATCAGTAAATCAGAAAATATAATAAATCAATAAATCTGGTGACATTTATTGATTTTCTTATGTTTACTGATTCTGGTTTTTTTTACACTCATTGGTAATTCAATAAATTCATCATTTTGTTACATGATTAGTTAATCAAAAAATGTAACAAATCGGCCATACGTCTGCTGATATTTACTGATTTTATGGTATTGAGCAGTAAATTAGTAAATTTGTCTTATTTGTGAATAATGTTTTGTATCAAGCCCTCATGTGGGCAATCTTTTGCTTTGCTATTTTATAGTGACAACTATTTGGTTTGCCAACAATCTAAACAGTCTATTAAAAAATCTCGTTGAAATGAAAGATTTTGACCTGTAATCAATTGATTTTTTAACTGTTTAAATAACAGTTTCCATAATTCCAGGTTAGCAAATAGGGGAATTGCTAGTAGCAAACGTCTCTTATTTTTTCGAGACAGGTTACCAAACAAAGATACCCAGTTTTCAAGTCAGTAGTTTTCAACATCCACCATTTTCTCAGGCTCCCAGTTTTCCAGATATTCTCTTGAAAAACAGCTTTCTCAGTCACCAAACAGAGCCGTAGCTTTAGTTTTCTTACTGCAGATTGATGTGAAGAAATATTAACTCTGGATTCTATGTCGCCTTTCACTTATCTCCCGCTTGTAGAACATAAGAAACCCACACTCTAACCCGTAACATTATCTAACTATGCAGAGTGTAAGATTTATTTCTCCCACAAGTATAATTTTGAAAATTTGTTTATTTATTCGCTCTTAATATTTTTACAGTTGCTTGATGGCTGGAACTACTCATTGTGTCCATGTGGATTCCATTTGTACCTTTATTCCCACAAGTGGCATTCGCTCTCTAAAATTTTCTTCTGGTTCTTCAAATTCTGAAGTTAAGAGCTGGCAGTTTATTTCTACCTTGCCTTCCAAAAGTCCAAGTATGTTCATGCTGTGATTTTGTTACTTTTGTAAATGGTTGAATTCCATCTCATAGTTTCATCATACTGAAATATTTGCCAATGATATGCAGGGTCTCATATGTCCATCCAGTGTTCTATACGGTTTCGTCCTTGTATTGATATACACAAGGTAAATCTTTGTAAGCTTTCCCAATTTGCAATAATCACTTGTAAATTTTATATGTGAGGGAGAGGTACTCGTAATTTGTGCCTTGTCATTGCAGCATTTTTCCCTTGATTTCTTTATCTTGCTAGATAGTCCACAAGCCAGCTAGCTATCTTGCTATATGTGTGTTTGTGTTGCACCGGATGTGATAATCATCAAGGGAAAACTGAGCTCTGCCCTAGAAGATTATTCTCCATTCCTATGTGTTTTTCTTCCCTTGTCTATATGGTATTGGTGTCCACTATGTCGCAGAACAATTAGTGTTTAGTACTATGTGATTTACAATTACCTGTTTCTATTCACTCAGAGATTTTCTAAATGATCTACATTTCACTTTAAAACATTTCAGGGAAAGGTGAAACAAATAGTTGGGTCTACCCTCCGAGATTCACAAGAGGAAAGCTCTACTCTTGTAACTAATTTCGAGTCAGATAAGTCACCTGCAGAGTTTGCAAATTTGTACAAAAATGATTGCCTTTTAGGGGGTCACGTTATTATGCTCGGTGCTGATGCATCAAGCAGATCTGCGGCTATTGAGGCTTTACATGCCTATCCTGGTGAGATGATGACAATTGGCTTTTCGATTTTTTTATATCCTTAGACACACACTGAGGCACCTATTTTATGTAATAACACTGCTCTACAACTTTAGAGTTCTTAACATTTTTCTTACTAACTTGTGGCAGTGACTTTAATATTCAGAAAATATTAATGTGTTCTTTACTAATGAAACCACACGATAAACCTATGGACTAGTAAAACCACAGTGCATTGGGGTGGTAACCGTTTGACTCAATGATCGATAATGATCGGAAGGAGGATGATACCCACTAACATGACATAACACCAATGGTGGGTCCCACTCCCTCTGCATCACCATCCATTGTTCCATTGGAAGGTGATACCTTAATGTACTATGGGCTTTTCATTCTTCATTGGCTTATCATATACTTTGCCATTACACTCCCCTACTTCTGTGGTTTGCCAATCTTGGTATTAGCTGTTTTTAACTATTCCTCAGGTATAATATCAGTTATTTATAATTTTATACCTTCAGGTGGTTTACAAGTTGGGGGTGGGATTGATTCAGACAATGCTGTTGGGTACCTAGAAGATGGGGCAAGCCATGTGATAGTTACTTCGGTATGCGATGCTTGCATTTTGGATGTCTTGTTTAAGCTTTTACGTTCTAAATAATTTAGTGTTGTTTAAGCATTCGAAGTATAACATACACACTATACATGTGTGTTTTCCATATTTCTCCATTGCTCATCTTTTGCTCTGGAAGCTAATATGGATTCTAGGTCACATAGAAAATATAGATAATTTCATCTTACACGCCCGGCATATAAATCTCAGGTTGTAGGTGCCTTCCCCATGCTTGCAAGCAATTCTTTTAAATTATTTTATTAAAAAAAAAAGGTCACATAAAAAATGAGTCCGCTATTGAAAAATCTTTTAAATATATTTTCTGCTGAATTTCGATTAATATATCATACACATGAATTTACATTTCAGGGAAGAAACTATATTATTTGAAGGACTCAGATGGAAAGTTTCAAAATACAAACTGTCTTTCTATAGCCATTGTAGCAGAAATGGGGCAAATGCGATGCATTCTTGTTTTGAACTCCGTTGCCCTCCTTAAAATAGCTTGACATAACTAGTAAGCATGCGTATTTATGATGATATGGCAGTTTATGAGTTTCCTATTCAAGTTCATAATTTTTGTGTTTCCTAGTTCTTACTCTTAATGTGTACAATTCTTGCAAATACCCACATTATATTTGTTAAATAAGATGTCTTTATGTTCCGAACAATAGTGCTGATTCTAAATCCTGTTTTCCTTTCATTGAACTAGCTGCCTCATTCATAATTGTATTTACTCAATATTTATCCATATGTGTCTCTATTTATCCCACTGAATTTATAATCATTTGTTGCATATTTCATTATATCATGTTAAAATACATTTTGTATGGTTTTTACCATCAAGAATTTGCGTCTGGTAACAATCTTAATTTGATATTGAGAATTTTGTTTGTAAAGTTCAGTTTCTTATTGCAGTATGTTTTCAATGATGGAAAGATGGACTTGGAAAGGCTGAAATTGCTTGTTCAGCAGATTGGAAAGGAACAACTTGTACTGGATCTTAGTTGTCGGAAGAAGGTAAGGACGCTTCAACTTATCGGGTTGATTGAAATATGGAGGTTTTATTTTATATTGGAACCTATGAGTGCCGGCTTCTTGGCAATATTTCCAAGGCAATCCATATCATAATTTATTACGTTAGCAACATGATCCAATGTAATTTTCTCTAAGTTCCTATTTTTGTATTAAAAAATTGAAATATTAGTCCTTTTTGTAATGTAGAAACATCAGTCTGGATTGCTTGATTTTAGCATGATTTAGTCCACTTAGATTGCATGCAATAGAGTGGTAAAGGGGGGAGGGAGGAGGAGGAGCGGGGGAGGGGGGCAAGGCTGGGAGATGAATGTAAGACTTTTGTAGACATCCAATAGGAGAGAGTTGGGGTGGCTAAGAGGGATGGATGTATGATAGTATAGATCTGATAGGAGACAGTTGGGGTGGCAGGTGGGTGGGTGTTGTTGGTGATGTATAATATAGTGCTCAAAATCAGAATTATGTTATTGTCATATGCAGAATGGGAAGTATGTTATTGTGACTGATAGATGGCAGAAGTTTAGTGAAATGATCCTTGATGAGGGAACCCTGGGTTTTCTTGCTGGGTATGCTGATGAATTCTTAGTTCATGGTGTAGATGTTGAAGGGAAACGGTATACTCTCTCTCTCTCTCTCTNNNNTTCTCTCTCTCTCTCTCTCTCTCTCTCTCTCTCTCTCTCTCTCTCTCTCGTCGTCGTCTCGTCTCGTACGTCGTACGTAGTCGTACGT